GCTACGCGTCAATGAGATGGTGCCGGGTTGGCCCATGTTCGATGAACAGAGACAGCAAGAGCCCGCATCGCGAACCGCAGAACGCACGTGGTAGTAGACACATCTTGTGCTACAGAAGTGTCTTGATCTCCCGAGCACGCCGCCAAAGTGCGTGTGGTGCATGGTGAAATGACAAACCGCCGCATAGGGTTTCTCCTCCTGGCAGTCCGTACCTACTCCGTACTGATCGTGGCCCCCAACAGAGAGATAGGCACATCAGCCCTATGCTGTGACAGCCGGCAGAGCTGTCTCATCCTTAGGCCTAGCCTTGCTGCCATATTCCTACGACAGCGGTATGAGCAGCGGGGAGAATTATGCAGCTCCATACACACGGCATCATAACAGAGCATGAAAGGCGTGTCAATCCCCATTGTTAGCGGCTACCATTAGCAGCTAGAATCACTAGGTCATGGCCGCCAAGGGCCAGAGACCCATTCCTGCGATGCACTTTTTGACCTCGACCAATCATCGTCAACCGGAGAGTTGGACCGTTTGAGGCGTGGTTGCAATCCAGCTGGAGTTCTCGCCCGCGGTAGCAAATCAGGAAGAGCGGAGACAACGATTTCTGCCTCGCACGCTGCACTGTTCTTCTCGACAAGCACACAGCAACCAATCAGGTATGGCGCCAATGTATCCGGCCATAGCTGTCTCGAGGCCTATGGCAGGACCTTGCGAAGGAGCCTATAGCAGGCCGGGTATCGTGTAATCGTTTCCACACACGCCCAAGCCCTATCCAGATGGGTGTAGTTCCGCAATACTAGGTGGACGCTTCTGCTATGCCCTTCCTAGACGCCAAACGGGTGACCGATTCTTGGTCCCTAGCGAAAAGGCTAATAAGCGCGATAGCAGGCTTGGCTACAATACCTGTCCTCCACGATACGTACCTGGGTCACCTACCTGCTTGCTCACCTTGATCGTCTTTAGATCGCTTTCCCGCACCATCATAGCCGCAACCAGGCCGCAACGATGCAGACTACTTGGCTCCTTGTAGAACAGACCCCTATATACCAAATAGTACTTTCCGCCTTCGATCCCCAACGGCGGGAAGGGGCTGGGGTGGTACCCTGGACTGGAGACTTGAGAACTACGTACCGAGCTCGCCCAGGGCTCATGAAATGCCTTTTGGCTCCAGGCTACCTACCCATCCTGTCTGCCTTAATACATGCCGCGCTACCTACGTCAGTGTGAAAGGCGTTTTCTGTAACTGCCCATTCACATACTAGATCACAAGGATTTCCATGAATCTCTGGACCAGGCCTCCTCGACCTGGACCAAGACGTTATTTCACCAAGATAATTTTGACGGGGCTTCTAGAACGGTGAACCCACCCATGACCCCAGACCCTGACCTTAAAAGTAGGACCGGGTCTACTGCAGAGATATAAGAGTCTTTGACAAGCCACTCGAGCATAACGCTTAAGAGATAGCTCGAGACTTGTGATCAAAACCGTCGACTGGCTCAACGTGGGACGACTTCAGACCACAATCGACATTGTCATTACACACCAACAACAAATACACACTAAGGACTTACTTCTTGGAACCGCGAACATGACGTTTGCCATGGGCAACTCTACAAATCAGCCCACACAGGTATGTGATGACTTGCAAACCATCTCTCCTTTCCATGTCGCACTTGTATGACAACTGGGCGGGTGACACATTGAGATGGGAGCCAATGCATTCCTTTCCTATTCATGCTTGTCCAAGTCTCGGTCCATCTCAAGCAGTATCAGAGTTGGAACACTTGCTGACTATAGCCAATTACACAGGTGGAGCTGTCCCCCACAACCATGGCGGCGGTGACAGCAACGAGTTCGTCGCATTACCCCGTGACCACAGAAGCATGGGCGACGTATCCAGCACCTCAAGGTGCGTCTCCAGGTCACTACGGAGGTAGCCTCGCGATGCCGCGCACCGGCTCCGCGGGCTATCCCAGTGATACAGAATGGAACTCGGGGCGGAACTCGTTCTCACATTCTCCAGCCAGCGGCTTCGACATGCCGATGCACGACAGCGGTATGGGGTCGCACGGGTACAGCACTCCCTATAACTACCCATACCACAACGAATTTGAGGCGGCGGCGAGTCCGTTTCTCGATACCGCCAGCGCCGGCAACCCGGGCCACTACCGCCGCAGCTCTAAGCAGATGGAGCCCTCGACGTCGTCAAGGACGAGGAGGAGATATCCACTCTCGCCGCCGCCACCACCACCGCCGTCTAGCAATTCCAGATCCGCAGCCACCTCGAAACTGCGCTCGGCCTCGCGGGCCTCAAAAAATAACCACTTGAACCCGCCCGCGACGGAGGAGGAACGAAAGAACCGGGCCTCTCACAACCAAGTGGAAAAGCAGTATCGAAACCGGCTGAACGCGCACTTTGAGAGTCTGCTAAACACCCTGCCGCAATACATGCGGGGCGGAGAAGACGATGAGGAGGAGGACGGAGATCGAAAGATCAGCAAGGCCGAGGTGCTCGAGATGGCCAGGCGCCACATCGTCGCCCTCGAGAGAGAGCTCACGTCGGTGGAGGAGGAGAGGGACGAGCTAAAAGACAATGTGGAGAGGCTGCGGTGGTTCATGGAGAGGTCTGACAAGGACAATGGAAAGGGGCCTGTATGACCAGTCTGGACGACGAGGTTCCGGTCTTGACTTTGTTTTTTAACACCATTCGCGACATTCGTACATATACCAGGTATTCATCATACACAGGCGCAAAGGATGCTTTGCCATTGGAGTTAGGGGCTCAAACTAGGTACCGAGTCGAACGGTTCGGCTCAGGATAGATGGCGGATTAAATACATCTGAACAACTGCATCATTTTCACCAGAAAACAAGAATACAAGTCTGCTTCGTTACCTATAAAATATTCATTATGGGAATATTGGTATCTGTTGCAGGATCGCTTATAGCAGAGTTACCTGCAAACATACTGCATTAACAACAAAAGTCTCTATACCTTTACTTTTCATCTGAGCAGTTAAGACACATTTTGAAAAATATATAAGATTTTTTTTCAAATAGGGTTTCTGCTATTTCTGCAAGACTTCTTTTCGATTTCTGGATTCTAGTTGCGTAGCTATTGCTATATCAGATCAATACTCAAGACGCTGCGTCGAAGTGGCTCTCAAACACGAAGAGGCTGTGTAAGTGATCGTCCCAGACGACAACGTTCCTGGGTTCATCGACGACGTTTCTTGGACTTGCACAGCTTTTGGCCACGCTCCTGATCGCGGCGACTCCTGGAGGGTACAGCCCGAAGGATGGCAAATCTCGAGCTGGCCCAGATGTGCAATATCGAGAAGGAGTAAAAAAACAGTTCAGTGACTAATCAAAATGCCCATGGCACCCCTGGCCGAGGAGCTCCGTTCGTTGCATCCAACCCGAGCTGTCACTCACCTTAGGCAGGGCATTGCCATTTGAGGCCAGAACAAGGCGTGCCAAGATCCTTCGGAGAGCAGAAAAAGTCCCCAGCGCACTATCTACCCGCCCTGCTAGGGGCGATTCGATCCTAGTCGGACGAGAGAGGATACAGAGCGCATACGGTGTACTTAGTGCACGGATGCTAACTTGAAAGCGTTCCCGTGTCCGGTCTTCCCCAGTGTCCTTTTGCATATCGATCAATCAGATCAGCGAGTTTCTCGGCGGGTCGGCCTGACCCTCCTCACGATCTGGCCGTGCTTACTTTTCGCAGACTCAGTCCAAGTCCATCTGGGACTAGAAACTGCAAAAATACCTTTTGTGGGGGGAGAAACAACCGATTCTTTACCCATGTCTATCTTCCGCACGCCGGGCCGGATTGGGGACAATGTGCTAGCAGTACGTAGTGGCACTCGTATCTTCTCTCGCTCATGTGATGTTTTTCGAGACATATCCCAGCGGCTAGGGCTGAGAAGCCGTTGGGCGGCCGCAGTGATGTGATGTTCTTCTTGGGACAATGCCTGCCGCCATTCGCTTTGCTGATCAAGCAAAATGGAGGGAAGCCCGTTCCCAGGCCCGTGGATGTGGAACCACCTTAAATTTCGAGAATCATGAAATACATGATGTTATGTTATGATGAAGGATTGGGGGCGGTTGCAGAAATGCCAGGTACTTCGTCCTCCGGAGTCCGGACATCAGATTGAAGACGTACTGCCATTTGACTTATGCCGGTTGTCTCCGTCTCTGGTGGGTGCGCGGAAGTGCCAGGTTGGACCTGGGCAAACCCGCCTTTTTCCAAAAGCAGGGATGGGGAAAGGAGGGGGGACTGGAGGAACTACATACGTACAAATACTTGGTAGGGAATACGCCCATCAATCGATGTTGGAAAACCGAAATAGAGTTCATGACTACCTGAGTACACACTCCCTCCTGATGCCCTCCAACTGCGCGTCTGTTCTTTTGACAAGCAACGCAGCGCTCGCAGTCGCGGCTGAAAAGGAAAAGAACACAGTCATGTCATCCATTGGATGCAAGCATGCATTGACAGGACGACAAAGCACGGCCGAGATTTGTTCTAGTCGTCGTTGAAGGATGCGAATGAATGCGGTAAACAAGGTGAGATGACTGTCATGCTCGGACTCTGTCACTGGTGGCTGGTCGTGGCCTTTAAGCTAATTGTCTTCTTGTTCTGTGTATTACCCATCCCCTTGCCCATCGTGAATCTTCACCCGGAGTTTCCGAATCGGGACCCCATAGTTATCCAGCAGGTCGGCAGTGTGATGTGAAAATGCAGGAGAAAAGCAGGAGGAAAGCGTGACGATCCTAGAATCCTTCCGGTCAAGATGCCAATGATCCTGAGATTGTCTTCCAGGTGGTACGGATAGGCACAGAGTAGGTAATACAGTAACAGACACCGTAGTATATCGTACTCCACTTATACCCCCTGCGGACTCGTGCGGGGTCACGTAATCCAGATGCGCCACAGGCTAGGGGAACTGCTTCTTAGTGTAACATAGGAGCTTTCTCTGCACAACAAATCATCGGTGAGATGGCCGAGTTGGTTATGGCGCCAGGTTAAGGTCTACCTTAACACCTAATTCCTGGTACGGAAACGTGCGTGGGTTCAAGTCCCACTCTCATCACTTCCCTCAGATCTCAATCTGAGAACCATTCTTTTTTGCTTCTTTTGCGCTTATTCTAAGCTTAATCTTTTCCTTTCCTTGTTCTCGATTTCTATGGTGGCGAATCTCTGCCGTTATTTTTCAATTCTCTATTTTCAAAGCTGTCGCAGTCACATATTCCTTACCTAGTGTGCCGGTGAATGCTCTTTTGCATCTTTGTAGGTTTCCAAAGAAAGGATGGCAGTAGCAAGTCCAACTACAGTCATCTTTCTGGGCACAACTTTCACCGGATAGCCGACTGTGAGAGAATGCGTGCATCTGCGACTGGCCTTTCGCAATCTCGAAAATTATACCACGCTGTGTGAACCGGTCTGGCTCTCCTAGAGGCTGCCCTGAGATTTGACTGCGCCAATTGATATTGCCTCCATGGAAACAACCAGTTGTGATCTCAGGTATCAAATCGCTTTGCGTTACTGAATCGGACCTCATCTCATTAGTACCACTTCTATTTCTAGTATATTACCAATTTTGCTATTTGAGGTCATTGTTGGTCACTACGCAGGAGTGGTAGTGATTGATGATTATATGACATATGAATCTTGCTGGGGCATTCGGGCTGCAGGACTGCCACACTGACGACGGGGTTATCGAGCCCTTGCATCGTGCCGTTGAGGCGTGTGACGGATAGGGACATTTCGCACAGCAGCAATATATCTCGGGTCTTTTGGGACCATAATAACATACTAGATATCAATGTTCAACAGTTTTCAATTGCTGCAATGGGTCAACATTCTCTAGATGCAGTGGTATTCTATGCGCGTCTTGTGGACTAGAAGGACACGACTGGTCGTTGCCAGTGGCCTTAAAGTTGTGGGATACTTCAGATACCTATTTTGGCCAAGATCCGGAGCAGTCCTTACACTTCCTACAGCCTTAGCATAGCCATTAATTGCGCTTTTTCCGTTTAATTGATGTTCAATTCACAATTGAATGACTATGAATGTAATGTCTCGTCTCCTGACAGATGAACGGACTGGTTGTGAGTTAATGACAATTTTACCACACCCGAATACTCAATCCGGGCTTGAAGAAGAAATGAGGTCGCAGGATATCTCGGAATTTAAATACAGCTCGAATGTCTCTGTTTCCAAACTGTTGCCAGTACCGATATTTGATCAGTATTGTGTACAGACTCTTGGATGTTCGGCTTATGTGATAATCTATTCCAAAGGTTTCGAGAGCGGGTTTCTCTCCCGTCAGAACAATGTACGAAGGCAGCCGTAAACCTTGTAAAGAGAATATGAAGAGTTGGTAACTGCCGAGGTACCACAAGATCCGCCGGGCATCTTGAGCAATCAAGTGAGCTTATGCGGAGACTCAAAGGTCCAGCTGGCAATAAACGAAGAACAAGCTTCGGGCCGTAATTCGCAATGTTCGGAAAACAATGTGACAATGTCAGCAATATCCTATGGGTAGAGAGTGAGATTTATTTTGAAGCGAGCAGCGTGGGAAATGTGATGGCCAGGAGTCGTCATGCCTTCAGACCCGACATAATACAATAAGTCCGCCGAAAGATGCGAGAAAGCAAGAATCAGTGTCCATATTTCTGAACTTTGATTCATACATTTAAGGTAAGATCAGACGAGGGGGGATCAAATGCGGGCTCTTCGATTATTTGTACCACAATAAAGTTGCTCGCAAAATTGCTTACCAATTGGAGACCCAGTAAGGCAGGTGCTTGAGAGCAACAGCTTCCAGCCTCTTGAGCGCAGATTGCATCAATATATCTAGATGGGCTTGTTCACGATCTATCGAAAGGCGATACGCACTTCCAAGGAGATGAACACTAGAAGAAGACAAGCTCGACCGTGTTGACTCGAGCAATATTTTCGGTCTCGAACAAGCCAACGAGGAAAGTTCGAGAAGATCTACGTCAGGATGGCTAGAGTTAAGTTGAAGGTTATTGGTCTTTTGTTTTTCTCCAGAAGCGCTGCTACCCAGGTGGAGGGCCGCAAAATTAGCAGCTTCTAGACTCGAATCTTTTTAGATTACTGGACGCGATACAATATGTTCGCCCATGCAAGGCAGGAGTCTTGTTGGCGAGACGTCAGTAATAAGGCCAGGCAGAAAGCATCCTGGTCGTCCGTCCCATCCTTGCAGCTAGTTCCCTCGCTTGCGTCGGCTGGATCCGACCCCTTAACCATGAACAGCCCACGCTTGCGTTTCCTTGAGACCTGCCAAGATCTGAGATTCATCAAACAGAAGCGACAATCCTCACAGACGTGGACGGTGAGGGTCCACCACGGCCGAGGGAAATAAGGAGGGCAGACATGGCGCGTAAGCTTCATTCTCGTCGTCAGCAGGCAACACGTCGTTGGCGCATGACCTATGATAGAATGCGTTTCAGTGGCTACAGCGTCTCTGAAGAAGACTTCATCCCTTGAAGGTGCCACTGAGGCCGCGCCTAATGGTACTCTGGCTGCAGGATGGAAATGAGAATGTGCAATCCTCTCGATCGCTACTCTTGTGAGCGGCTAGCCAATGCATGAGAGCAAGCGAGGGCGAGCAAGCAAGCAAGCAAGCCAGCAGGCTACAGCGCACACTCCAGAACCCTAATCGGGGCGCCCGCAGGCTCATGTAATCGATCAAGCAGTGGACATGACAATATCCCTCGCCAGACTACTTTGCAGACTTCTAGGTGACGCCAATGCTGAGAATGGGTGGTTTCCCGAAATGTGTGGACCGAGGCTCTGGAAAAGGATCCTCTCTTTAAGGTCTTGGCAGTTTCGATCGTATTGCCGATCCCCGGGGTAGAGGCCGGGAACGAACGAGCCTCAACCAGGGCTGAGCGTGGTATGTCGTCTTGGTGTCCGAATATATTGAGGCGGTTCTGAACGGGGAAGTGGACAAAGATGAGAGGAACATGAAAATAGAACCCACCGTCAAGTCTTGGTGCTGCATCAAATCTATCATACTCTGCTGATGAGTATAGCGGTAAATTTCCCTCAGATGTGGTCGTGTTTCACGACGTCACCATGTCTGTGGCCTCTGTACAACAGATCGTATACTCGTGATATCGCCAAGGGCATCAGTTTAAGCATTTTTAAGCATGCGCTAAAATTGGGACATTGCATTTCGTCCCAACGACCGTTGGTCTACCAAATCTCTAGGAATCTGGTCGCTCCGCTTTTTCTCACCGTTCGGTGGCGCGAAACCAAACACACCGTTGGCTGGAGCGGACCATATCCCCGTCGCCCTTCATCTATTCGGTGGGCACTATAATCAGCCAAGGCCCCTGAATATACAGAGCCGCATCGTATGCTGCATCTCGACTCGACTGACACAACACATGGGCATGGGATGTTGGCATGTAGCGCCAACGGGAGAGAAGGGGGCGGGAAATGCTATCGAAGAGTCGATGGCGACGAGTAGATAGTTATAAAGCAGGTCTGCCAATTCGAATACAACAACGCTCTTTTTCCTCTCACGCTCCTCAAGCTCGTCCAGCAGTCTTCTTTTCCACCATCTTGTTTCTCGCTCATTGGCAGTGCCATTCATTCATTCTTTTCTGACATTCTTTAACACTTCACACTCACTTCCAAAAAGCCAAGGCCAAGTCGCCCAACGCAAACGAAAACACTACCAACTCAACAGTCTACCAATAAAACCGATCTTCAAGATGCGTTACTCTGGAGTTTCTGCTCTGGCCTTTGCCAGCGGTGTCGCCGCCCACACCCGCATGTACAGCGTCTGGGTCAACGGTGAGGACCAGGGCGATGGCCGCGGTGCTTACATCCGCTCGCCTCCCACCAACGACCCCGTCAAGGACCTCACCTCCAGCGACATCGCCTGTAACGTTGCTGGCGCCACCGCCGTCAGCGACTTCGTCACTGCCGCCGCCGGTGACACTCTCAACTTCGAGTGGTACCACGACTCCCGCGGCGACGACATCATCGCCAGCTCCCACTTGGGTCCCATCATCACCTACATTGCCCCCTACACCGACTCCATGGACGGTACCGGCTCCATCTGGACCAAGATTGACGAGGAGGGTTACGATGCCAGCACCGACAAGTGGGCCGTCGACAACCTGATCTCCAACTCGGGCAAGAAGGAGTTCACCGTCCCCTCCGGTCTCGCCGCCGGCAAGTACATGTTCCGCCAGGAGATCATTGCCCTCCACGAGGCCGACACGGCCTACTCTGCCAACTCGGCCCGTGGCGCCCAGTTCTACCCGTCCTGTGTTCAGGTCGAGATCACCGGCTCCGGCACCGCCTCCCCGTCCGAGGACTTTGAGCTGCCCGGCGGCTACACCTACGACGACGCCGGCATCGTCTTCAACATCTACTCATCGTACACCTCGTACGACATTCCCGGCCCCGAGGTCTGGGACGGCACCAGCACCGGCGAGAGCTCCAGCTCGGCCACCACCTCGTCCGCCGCCGCCGCCGCCTCGACCACCCAGGCCGCCGCCACCTCCGCCGCCGCCGCCACCTCCGCCGCCGCTGCTACCACCAGCGCCGCTGCTGCCGTCACCACCTCGAGCGCCGCCGCCCAGCAGACCACCACCCTCGCCACCTCGGTCAAGGCCTCTTCCACCAGCCAGGCCGCTGCCGTTTCCACCACGAGCGCCGCCCCCGTCGCCTCCAGCTCGGCCGGCTCCAAGTGCTCCAAGAAGAAGCGCGGCCACGCCCGCCGTGCCAACTAAAGCACCTCGTTGTAACTTCTTCATTGTAGATGGTTGGGATAAAAAGGGTTGTTTATTTCCCGGTTGTTGTGAGGCTTCTTCCTTTGGTCAAGCTAGACTTGAGAACAGAAAACCAAACATGGTTGCTGGACTTTCTTCATTGTAAATATATTAGACAAGCACTATCAAATACATATGGATGACTTGCAGTCGTCTGATGCTCAAAACATTATGTCCAATATCTCGCGTGGGCTTGCCAAACACCATGTGTATTTTCTGCCGGCACTTCGCGTGGTGCAATTCAGATTTGTTGGGCAGTACAGCTCGTTACACA